TTTAATAAAATTGCCATTGACAACTGTAATACCTTGTTTCACATCGGTGAACTCATACATGCATAGATTGATTAAAAAAAAATTATTGACCTGAAAATTGAAGAATTTTAAATCTTTATAGTGTCGAAGCCCCATAGCGTCGAAGCTCCTGGACTGAATATTATGTTAACATACACATTAGGAATTATAGTTTAACTTGAATGTTTTGAGTAACATGACGGGTGCCACATGTGGAGCAGGATCTGCTTATCCTTCCGGAGCACCTGAGATCACCCCAGGTTTTGGTGGGGTTCCTGTTGCTAAGTCGTTAGTTTTCTATATTGTGTTGTGTGTTGTTGTTTGTCTGTTGGTCCTTTTCTTTTTTAGCCATGGCGTTGGCAGCTTATTTTCGACTTATGAGTTTGAATGTCCCTTTAGTATCTTTTGCCTCTCTTTGGCATTCATTATTTGCGTTCTTAGTTTTTGTACGGAATGAATCACTGATTAAGACGCCTCGGTGTCGTTTTGATAAAATGCTATTGAGAATGACAATCTGACATAGTCGTTTTGAAAAATACTGACCTCCTCTCGGGGATACAACTAAGTTCCAGAGTCCCAATCTAACGAGCGTCAGCCTAACTAGTTAATTTTAAGTTAATCTATGTTTTACATAGTTTTAATAGCACAATTATTTGTTAACAATTACTGGCCACTTTTTTAAGACTCCATATTGGATGCAATTATGGAATTTTCCTTGAAAGTGTATCCATTTGGTTTAAAAATTCCGGAAAATTTAATCAATATTGTATAAATTGAAGAAATCATATTCATTGAATCTAAGTTAAAATTGTCCTTTATCGTTAAGTCCAGAATTTGGAAGCATCAATAACAACTGCATTTTAGTCAGCGAGAGGCTGAAACTGGTTTGAAGAGTAATCGTTGAGAAAATTTATGTTCTCGAAGACAGAAAAGACAATGGACCCCTTTAGTGCAAATAAACATGTTATAAATGGTGTGATCCCTGTTGAGAAAGAAAATAAATAATTGAATAGTAAACAAACAGAAGGAATGTCACAGTTCATTGTAAAACGTTTTGTTGTGCTGTTATCAGTAAATAAATGTTTCAAGCAATAGCTTTGTCATACATTTTTAAAGTTAAAATCAATGTTACTCTTATGGCCGAAGTACCGACATACGAGTCGACAACGGTCTCCTGTTTTATATGTCAAAACTATATATATGTTAGATAAATCGAATAAAACATTGCAATTATTGTCGTAATTCTGTGCCTACAAGGTTCTCCAATTAAGACAAAAAATACTTCAGAATCTAAATGCGTGGATTTATTAATCCTTATACACATCTCTGTTAAATAATCTATTATATAAAATTAACACCCTGCGAAGTAACGCAATTTTGTGTTTTCGATTTTTATCCCAGGGGAACTATTGTTTAATTTCTCTTTTCAGGAAGAATTTCACATCTCCTTAAATTGAAAATAACACTTCATAAATTTTGTGAGTCCATAGGGTATTACTAGTGTTACCTTCGTCCAAATTAAAAATATATATCAGGAACGTATAAATACCCGACGAACCAAAGGCGACCTTAAAAATAGGCAAAACCATCTAATAGGAAAACAAAGGATATGGGGTATCCATCCATGCGCAAAATCATTACATGCACAGCGAAAAACACACAAATCAAATGAACAACACTTTTATTGCTGTTTATTCATCTCAAAGTCACAGCGAGGCCTACAACACGGAGCAAAAAAAAAGTCTCACCTCACTGCCAGTATAGACGGCCCCTAACACCGGTTTGAGTGGAATTCTTTGCAAAATGATTCGGATAGACTTTGTAAGATGTATCATCACCAAATAGGGCCTGGTAAAAAAGTACATACTAGAAAGAAGTACATTATTAAAACAAAATAGTTCCTACACATATGTGTAAATATAAAACTATGCAGAATATACTTTATTTAATACGGTATGAAATGAAAGGTGAAGGACTGGGGATCCTTGTAGAACACATATTGACTGATAATTTTGAATAATACAATAAATTGAGGGTATATATTACAAGTTTCTCAGATATGAAGTACCGGTTTGGTGTATCCAAATTTCCGGTAACCCGTACGGTCTGTTGTATAAATAACTGTATGGTGATCCCGCCCCCATAACATACTTGGAAGTGAAAAATTTCACGTGGATAGGAATGAAGGCCAAGAATAGGTGGTGTGCGTCTTATTAAAATTTAGTAGACAAACTGCCCTAAAATTGAGAGAATGATGTGGTACACATAAGAGAGGTTATATCAAAAATAAATACACCATAACTTAAAAAAAAAACAGAAGAAAGTCAACTTTGCCTGAGTTGGTTTGAACCTTTCTTTACTTAATAAAGGACAATATTTAAATTTTTGTAATAAATGTTGCCAGTAGCCAGTAGAGAAGCGCTGCCTTTGAGATGATGATGTCCCGATGGACTATTAAGCCCACGAGCTGCGGTATCGATCACGTATTGATTATCCTTTATCAGGAACGCTGAAATAAAAGCCAAAAAAAAGATAAAAAAGTATTTAGGTTGTAACTTTGAAATTTTAAAACGAGAATGTAAAGCATTAACGTTGAAAGTTTTTACTTTATGTACGCTACAGATAAAGATAAAATTTTGAAATAATAAGTATTTAAAATTGTAATAATATGTATTATAAACTAGACATATTTTGAACATTTCAAATAAGGGGAACAGCTTTTACTTAGATGGGGAAATTAAGGCGACAATAGTTTACCGATGTTCAAATCTCGTAAATGGATAAGGAGACAAATCAAGGAAACAAACAGAAAGCAAGGGAACCACAGGAACTCAAAAAAGAGCAAGACCATGTGCGATGACATGATAAGCATCCCCTGCTATGCATACATCACCCACCATGCTGATTCACACTCAGAAAAATGTCAGAATCGGGAAATGAACACAATCAATAAAATTACAGATTAGACGACTATACTGGTATCTAAAAAAACAGTATTGTTCAATGTCACGTGGGATAGTCATAACCAAACAAATGTCCACTTATCCATGATCTTTTACACAAAGTGGAATAGAATGTTCCATTGCCTAACACATAAGATAATATGCAATTTGTTTTAAAGAATCTAAAGTTCCAACTCCTACAGGCAAAGTTAACTTCAGATGAATTAGCTATTATTTTTATGTCCCTTTTGGTGATATAGCTACTAGCATTTATACGTATGTATACATTCCTGGCTTTAAATTATCTTGGTTTTGGCGATCCTGGTGAAGGTAAGTTAAGAGAAGCGCTTCGGACGCACACACTTTATAAAGTGTTATTATCATTAAATATAAAAGAAGTATTTATTTGTCAAAACGTCGAAAAAGAACCTTATTTTAAGTGACGTTACAAAATACAACAATTTGTCATATCAAACAAGCCATCCATGTGATTTACGGTCGATATCGGGTATTTATGGACCGGATGATTATCTCTCAAGACCGAAGCGAAACTGAGGTCAATATAGATTTTGAAAATGACCTTACTTTGAGTAGTTTGTTACTTGACCCGTTCTTGATGACTAATGATGTATCTTATGATATAAGACCGCAAATATATGTCGCTAGTATATCCACGTCATTTGAATTATGGTGGATAGTAAACTCATTGGTCATCATAACCTTATTTCTATATATTTGTAGAAAGTCCGTAAAGTGTGATAATACACGAGCGTAACATATTGAGATATGATCAAAAGATCGAGATATGAATCACACTCTTTTACCGGCTATCAATACAGCAGATGCGATAAGCAATGCAGTTCAAAATCTGTACGAGATTGAAAAATCCATTGTATTGCAATGGCAATCGGGGTCGCCAAACATCTGTTGTACACGATATCAAAGCAATTGTTTTAATAGCAATCGGGAACACAGAACATGCTGTATCGATAGCCTGTAATAGGGTATGTGAAGCAGACCTTATAGTTTTGAATGTATCTTTCATCTCACGTTTTCTTGGATATAAGAGAGGAGCACACTTTCTGAAATTTGGGTTATCTAGCGATAGGACATCATTGATTTACAATGACACGTAAACCACATTACTTTTGTATCATGCTTAATATTGTTGTCTTTGAGATGTTACTGTATGAATACAAAACAAGTTGGTCCCTGGGGGTGCACAATTGGTACCCATTTGAATACCGACTATCTGTTGAAATATCAATCCAACGAACTCAAAAATTATGTTGTCGATCAAAAAGTCGAGCAGTTTTATGATATCCTCAGCTGTACTCGTTGTTGAATAAGTGTAGTTCTTCGTGAAGTAAGAATGTTCATGACCTAAAACAATGATTTTGTAATCACGATTCCCAATGTTGTACAAAAAGCTTTATTAGACGATGTAGTCGCTCTTCACTTCAGAAGTGTAGAGCATAGAACAATCATACGTTTTGATATTACCGCAAAATTGTTACGATTGTTATTGAAGTTTTAAGGAAGAACTTCTGGAGCACCTGAGATCACCCCCTGTTTTTGGTGGGGTTCGTATTGCTCAGTCTTTAGTTTTCTATGTTGTGTTTTGTGTACTATTATTTGTCTGTTTGTCTTTTTCTTTTTTAGCCATAGCGTTGTCATTTTATTTTCGACTTATGAGCTTGAATGTCCCTTGGGTATCTTTCGCCTCTCTTTTAGATTTTCAGAAGTCCCATCTGATTGACACCACTGGTTGAATACACCTATCTCATTACAATGTTTCAGAATGGAAGTATGAACTTTAGAAAGATATTTAGTCGAACATCTAGACGATCCGACTATATATCGTTCGTTTTAAGGAATTTGTGAAGTTTATGTATCAAGTATAAAGACGGGATATTGTCATCGTCCGTTTGTTATGTTAATACCAATGGAAAGAAGGACGGGTTTGTTATTTTCTAAAAGCTCCTCTTTCGGGAATAATGAATACATGTAAAAAAAAAAACATCATTAATGATACCAGGCTTATTAATTTGCAAGCCAGACGCGCTTTTCGTTTACAAAAGACTCACCAGGGACGCTCGAATCTAAAACGTTAAAAGGTCAAATAAAGTAATAAGTGGAAGAGTATTAAGGACCAAATATTCCAAAAGGTTTTGCCAAATAAAACTAAAGTAATCTGTTCCTCGAAGAATTCAGAGTTTTGTAAACAGTTTTTTCATAAATTTGACAATATCGATGATAATTCATGTCAACACAGATGTGCTGACTACTGAAAAAGAGAGGCGAAAGATACCAGAGGGACATGAGTGATAGTATTATGATGATACAGTAGTAAAAGAAAAATATATGGAAAACATGCCACATAGATACCGATCGTCAAATTGTATTATTGTCTTAGATGAGCCTTAACATTTCAGATTCACATACATGTAAAGTTTCCTTCCAACTTAACGAACGGTTTGTTTGCTTATTCCTATACCAAGTAAAGGTATTATTTCAACTCTAAGGAAAACGGTATACGCATTTTTTAGATTCATTTGATGTTGTTTATCATAAATATAGAACTTTTCATTTTGTATCTTCCTCAAACTGTGTTCAGTGTGTAGAAGGCTGAATTAATGGTAAATCAATGCCAGGGTTGTATTCCTTATAGTGTGTTCGTACGCACCTGTAATGATAATAATAATTTTTACCAAGTTATAGCAGACCGATTATCAAACACACTGATTTCCTTCAATTTGAACAACAATTTCAACATAAGTCACGAGTTCCATTTTTTTGTCAACGTGAAAAAAAGTTCGATGGTTTATAATAATAATAATTTTGAATTCATCACATTGATTTTATGTAAACAATGAATTCTAAATCTGTAACAGCAAGACATAGTCTTCAAGAGGGACTTGTATTTTTGGGGTAACATCAGTAATAAATCCAAGGGAAATTTTAATTTATTTTCCTTATTCTAAATATTTATTTGTCATAGTTATGTTGCGGTAAACCAGTAGAGACCAATTAAAATAGTTCAAACGGACATTCAGATTTGATCCAGTCGAAAAATAAAAGGCTTTCTGCCTAATTTTAAATTTTTGTTTGCTGAAAGATTTATCAGACAACATCCGAAACATTCTTAAAACGCCTGATAAAAAATATATTGATATCTTCCAGTTAATAAAAGATTTGTGGTTAAATCAGTTTTTTAAAAAACGTCAAAGAACATTATCAAATTTTGGTTAAAACTTAATTACTAATCATTTTCCAGAATTCTTTGTATGATATAAAATTAATGAACGAACATTTCTTACAATAAAATTTAAGTCTTGGATTACAAATAGACATTCCAACGAAGAAATGTGTAGAAAATATTCACAAACAAGTCACTTCTTGTCACAATTATTATTTTCAGTTTGTATTTAGTGATATTTTGAGAAAATAGTGGTACCAATCTGGTGGAATTTCTTGAATTTAAGTCTTCTGTTTTGACTGTTGTTAACATCAGTCCAATGTATGAACTTCATCCTTGTAAGGATTTGTCTTTCCGTGTCCTGTGAGTTTACTATTTTTTTTATGTCATTCAACAAACGAAGCGGGTATTTATAAAACTTGTAAGAAGAGTTACCAGTTTATTTACTTATTTATTGAATAATTCAAGTTATTTTTTTTTTAAACTTGATGTATCGGTTTTAGATAAATATCAACCAGAACTGCTAATGGCCACCCTGATGTTTTATGTGAGTCTTTTTAACATAAAATTTTCGCTCGCCATCACGAATTGGTTGACCGATCCGATATGTCTGTGACTCAATTTACTAGCATCAAATTTTTGCCGTCTGAGAACAGCAGTTGTTTAATCTGTGATTATATCGATTGTTTCATATTACCGATTGTGAAATTTTGAATGAGTGTTGATTCGCATGGCGGGTGATTCATGCATAACAGGAGACGCTTACACTATCAACGCACCCGGTCTCGTTCCTTTTGGGCTTCATGCGATTCCCTTAATCTATGTTTGTTTTACCTTGATTTATCTTCTGAAGCGATTTTAAGATTTTAACATCGGTAATCTACTGTTGCTTAAATGTATGGACTTTTGATGATAGTTAAATTTGTAACCAATACTTTATTTTGACTTATCTGTTGTTGAGTTGCTGTCTCATTGATGGCCATGACGTTGTAAGCCTTTCTTTGACTTGATTTTATATTGTTGTGTCTTATTTTTAATACAATAACACCATTTCCAACATAACTACAGTGCTTACCATACAATTGTAATCAAAATCATCAACAGCACAACGGAGACAGCAGCTATTACAGGAACTTTTACTGGAATCACTTCTTTATGATGTAAAACATTCAAATCTAGAAATAATAAAACGGTGTAAATACATTTGTACTTTTGCGGGAACCTCTGAATTGTATGCGAGTGTTATAGAATTCATAACTGTGTGGACATGGACACCTGGTTTTTAAATGTTATCGTGACTGTCACTGGCTGACGACAACAAAAATCTCACGCAATTACAGTATGTCAGTGGTCTCTCAATGGGGATGTACATAATGACTATCTATACACATGTTCTTTCATGAAAAAAAAGTTTTTGCATGCAAGTTCATAGGAATTTGTTTTAAATAGATTTATATAATCACAACAAAAAGTTTCTTTTGAAAGAATAAGTTTATTCAGAGGATTTTTCAAATCACTATGCAAATGTGTTCTGACGTCAAAATTCTTGTGGTATCAACCTGTTTGAAGCAAAATCTTTTCATTTTTACTGTTTTTACATTTCCTTATTCTGTATATTTTTCTCATGGAACTTCTTTTGATTGTTTGTGTCGCTGGGATCGTTATAATATATAATATACCCAACATCTCCTATAATATCACCCTGAACATGCATTAAATATTTTCCACTGGACGTAAAGCAACCAACAACCAATTAATCAATCTCCTATAATTATATTCTACATTAATCAAAACTCTAGTTCTTTCCATAAACTGTATAGTTATTACTACAACGAAACACAATAAAAATTACGAATCGCGATTGGTGTTCAATCAAAACATCGACATGTTTTTTTTTTTTATAATTCAAGTTTTTTGCACACAAACGACCGGATTCATATGCTTCTTGAATGATATTTCCACGTGTTAAATTTTGTTAGCATGATATTTAGATGGATAGGATAATCTTATCATTGGAGTCGTCTATGTGTTCCGTGCAAAACAATTTAGTAAGAAAATTGATCGTAGCTTACTCTGATGTTCAACTCGTACGAATAGATTATTTCGTATTTTTTTAATGAGCTATAGAACTTATTTTTTTACAAAGAAAAAAATATAACTTTTTTTGATTGATTACCTCTGAATATAATATTTCAAAATAAACTTTTTGGTGATTATATAGATCATATTTAAACAAACTCTTATAAAATTTAGCGCAAAAAAAAAATGTTTTAGGAACGATAGTAACTATGTCACAGCCAGTGAGTGACAGAAAAGATAACATTTAAATACCATGTGTCCATGTCCACGCTGTTATGAACTTCATTCTATTTCTCGGGAAACGATAACACGTAATGTACTATTGTGTTCACCTTAAATATGCCTTATGCTGGGATAAAAAGTATGTCCGAATGAAGAAAGGGATCATGCCGTTTGCCGTTATATCTTAATTTTGTATAATCCATCAGCAGTAATTTCAAGAAAATAAAAATGATGGAGATATACAAAAGATATCGTTGTCTCTGTATACATTCTCAATTTCAAAATAAAATAACCTATGAGATGCAAGGACAGACTAACAAATACAACATTCTATATCAATAATAAACAATGATATTCTTGAATTCAGATGGTAATTTGCATCTTAAAATGGTTTCCTGGCAGACTCGAAACTGATACCTAAAAGTATGACCGCAAAAGATTTCGTTTTTTTTTTATTTCTGTCGAAGTACATTTGTTACAATTAGGTCAGACGAATATTATATAATTACTGTCTTTTGATGAGGTAAATGTGTGGTTTTATTGACTTTTGAAACACTGATATTCACTGAGGCCAACGACCGAAGTGAATGTCACTAGGTTTTTCAAAAGTCAATTAAACCACATATTTACCGAAACAAAAGACAGTAATTGTTTTATTCCATGTTCCGAGAGAGAGAAAATATGTTTAAAATAACAGTTATTTACCAAAACCAACTAAACGTCATACATTGTATCGTTATAATTCACGTAAAAAGTACGCGACGTTTTGCGCGGTGAATATACTTTTTCGGCAGGTGAATATGCTTATTTATTCAAAACCCCATTCATATAGAAAAACCTACTAAAGTTCTTTCAATATGGAAAAATATACAATTACTGTCTTTTGATGAGGTAAATGTGTGGTTTTATTGACTTTTGAAAAACTGATATTCACTGAGGCCAACGGCCGAAGTGAATGTCACTAGGTTTTTCAAAAGTCAATTAAATCACATATTTACCGAAACAAAAGACAGTAATTGTTTTATTCCATGTTCCGAGAGAGAGAAAATATGTTAAAAATAACAGTTATTTACCAAAACCAACTAAACGTCATACATTGTATCGTTATAATTCACGTAAAAGCACGCGACGTTTTGCGCGGTGAATATACTTTTTCGGCAGGTGAATATGCTTATTTATTCAAAATCCCATTCATATAGAAAAACCTACTAAAGTTCTTTCAATATGGAAAAATATACAATTACTGTCTTTTGATGAGGTAAATGTGTGGTTTTATTGACTTTTGAAAAACTGATATTCACTGAGGCCAACGGCCGAAGTGAATGTCACTAGGTTTTTCAAAAGTCAATTAAACCACATATTTACCGAAACAAAAGACAGTAATTGTTTTATTCCATGTTCCGAGAGAGAGAAAATATGTTTAAAATAACAGTTATTTACCAAAACCAACTAAACGTCATACATTGTATCGTTATAATTCACGTAAAAGCACGCGACGTTTTGCGCGGTGAATATACTTTTTCGGCAGGTGAATATGTTTATTTATTCAAAATCCCATTCATATAGAAAAACCTACTAAAGTTCTTTCAATATGGAATAAACGTATATATTGATGAAATTTGTTGACGTCATATTCTTTTGTTGAAAGGAATTATTGTTATTTCGATTCTTACCACTTGGACCTGTATAAACTGTGAAATTAGTTGCTTTTCCATATTGCAATGATCTAGAACTTATTCTCCATGAAATGTTATACGTTTTATTGTCCTCTACATCATTCAGTTCAATTCTCCTCAGATACGGAGAAGCAGCAGTTGTTTTGTTCTTCACTTTGATACAACAAATAAAATTTGGTAAAATCAGTGTGATAGTGAAAATAAAATAATGTTAATTCTAATTGAATCAAGCAAAGGATGCTAAAATAAAGTTAAAAAAACGTTATTAGGACTTTATGACAGAGTCAAACCTACAGTCTTAGTGTTTTTTGGAATGCAAAATATGAAGAAATTCACGGGAAACTACAAAACAAAAAGGGGATAAAAGTTTTCCAAATTTGTCTAACTCAAACTTTGCATGAAGAAGTTTAATTTTTGGTTTTGATAAAAGTTACGCTACCGTCCAACAACTGGAAATTTGATCAAAATAGAAATTTCCATTGAATTTTGTGCAAAACGAAGTGTTAAATAAAAAGACGATAAAAAAAACCGATCAATACATACTGACCATGTATCTGTGTAGTATAAAGATGTATTATTGCTTAATATTATTTTTTTGTGGGAGGTTCAGCTGTCCTGATTTTGTCTTCTTATTTTTTGAAATTTTTATCACATTTCAATCAAATGTTCAGTTCTACATCAATCAGAAATTATAGCTTGTAGCGAAAGCTTTAAATGTCTGGAAATAAAAAATAAACCTACCTAGTGATAAATCATCCTGTGGGTAGTATGTAATATGATACGAAACTGGAAGCCATTGGTTCTGGCTACAGAAATCATCAGTCAGTATCAGAATCAAAGTGTTCGGTACATTTTTATCTTTATGCGTGATAGGAATTGTTGGCCCTTTAGTTGGAACTAAAATTTGATAAATTAATGAAAACAAACGAACACTTATTGGACATGTAAAGAACATATTTAAAGTCATTATGTTTAGTTGATAATAATTGCATTCGTTTTGTAGATAATGATTTCTATTTTGTAAAACAAAATTAGCTCTACTTATGATGAACGTTAAAACAAAATGTTAAACATGATGTTAATTACCTTAATGTTAAAGAGATGTTTGTACGTTTTTAACTTTGATATCAAAACTTCACACAGAAAGCTTCCAAACAAAGTACGACTTTTCTTCCATAAACGTGTTTTTTTTTTTCATGTGATGGAGATATTCTATTTCTTCCTTTATTTCGGATTTGAAGTGATATCTCAGATTTTAGAGTAAATGTCTTATTTCTGTGCTGATATTTAGAATGTATTATCCTGTGTATTTTTAATCATTCTACTGATTGAAATAAGAAGGAGCAAGATTGAGTATTCACTAAAGCTATAAACCCCTTTTGGCATGAATTATTTTTGAACAGCTTATACAAAGTTCAAAAAGTTCAATAGTTTATTAGAGTCTCACCACATACATACAATTATAAACACAATATGACATTTAATACACAATATAAAATTTGGAATGCATGTGCCATTCTTAAAAGAACTATGAGAGACTGTTATATACAATATTAAAACATCAAAATAAAACATAGTTTTGCTATTTACACAAGACATGAAAGTGCAATATCACCATGCACATTCAAGGATAAAAATATACATATATAAAAACATTAACAATAAACCATCCATCAAATTAATAGATATCGGATCATCTGGAAATAACAATACTACACAAACAGGATAAAGATATACTAGTCAATGGTTTGCATAGTTTCTGAACAGGTCAAATGAGTAACACAGTATAAAGGAAAAGTTGAAAATCTTATTATGTACATGAAAAGAAGACTCATTTTGAAATAATTTTCTAGATTTCTTGTTTATTAACACACTGATTTGTATTTTCTTAACTAAATTTCCGCTTATCATAGAAACGATAGACGATCTCACAAGTATGTCAACTTTAAAAAATGAAAGAAAAAGGTTTATTTTTTTTTATTCAGTTTCATATGCAGAACATATTATAATTGAAACAATTAGGTATCAACAAGTTAAAATTAAAAAGCTACCAGAAAGGAAACCAGTAAAGCACAAGTGTAGTTGATACATTGTGAATGCTCTCTTAAAACAGTAAAGCACAAGTGTAGTTGATACATTGTGAATGCTCTCTTAAAACAGTAAAGCACAAGTGTAGTTGATACATTGTGAATGCTCTCTTAAAAACATTACAAGCAATCATCCTTAAAAGGTATACTTTTTTTCTGACAAAATTTCATCAATATTATGAATCAATTTGATAATTTCGTATAATTCTCTGACCTATGTGAAACGTTTTATTACATTTCAGATAATGAAAACACTTATGATTTATAAATATAAATTTGTTACACTTACCACAAGATCTACATTTAAAAATACAACTCTGCCGTGCCCAAATCATACCAGGTCTTTTTTGTAAGGCCACACCAAATTGCCAATTGTTGTCTGATGCATTATTCAGTCCTAATCGCATATTTAGATCCGGTTTAGTATAATTATAATCGGACTGTATACGTCATGGAAAAGAAAAACGAAGACATCAACAGATGAACATAAGCTATAGACTCTATAGAGCTTGAGTTGCCGTTGATGTCTCAATCAGCTTGAGTTCGAATCTCGCTTTAGGAACTATACGAGTTCGCATTTGTCAAAATGCAGTTAAAATATTGGTTGGCTGAATTCAAGATGTAAATAATGTGCATAACATATATCATTGTATGAACACATGTCTGTAGTTGAAGACTCTAGATGTCTTGATTATTTTTGTCGTTTTTTATCTCCTTTTTATTCACGAGTTTGGCATATACACTGCCTCGGCTAACTAATATATCATTGTCGTTGTATTTGATTGACAAATTTAAGTATAACCCTCTACTATAAACGAAAGAAAAGATTAACTAAAAAGTCATATTTCCCATCCAATGCAACTGTATGATATGCCTTACAACCATAAATTAAGCAGTCGGAAGAAAAACATCCCTTAACCCAAAAAATATTTTTTAACGAATTATTGGTCATCGAGTAAGCTTCGTGGAGTGAAAGTCCACCAGCAGCTACAGCAAAAATCGTATGATATGATTTCCGTGTTTATAAAATTTTGAATTCCAATTCCTTTTTAAGGTATATTTGAAATTGCAAGATGCTGTTTTGACATCGTTGGGCTTAAGTCAAATCTTGCTAAACATACCTGTGTTTTAAAATTAATGCTTCAACGGTTTAAACAATAAACTTTTTACGGTCGTAGATTTCCGTAGATGAAAAAAACTTTGTTCTTATTTACCTATCTATGATGTTTTCCATTAGAAGCAACACATATGGACACAATAATCATGTGATCAAACCAATATGAAAAAATAAAGGCAAACATGTTACATCATATGGAATATTTCTCTAATAAATATGTATGAATATGATCTAACTATTCATTTACCTGACACATCACAATTCTAGACATGCTTATTATCCCTCTACACCAGTATATAGTGGTCACATTGGTTGTGGAAACAGAGTCAGTATAAACAGAGAGCCACACATAACTACTGTTATTCTCCTTTTCCACAACAACTGTCACTGTGTCGCTTTCAACTGTACAAGTTAAAGTACGTTAATATTTAATTTACTGCTTTTTTCCAGATAATACTACATATCTAATTTCACGGTTAAGTTAATATTAGATACAATTTGAGTAGACCAATCATAAAATCAATATCGAGGCTTCCATCTTAGAAATGATTTATAGATTACGGCAACAGTATTTTACCGATGTACAAATCTCATAAAGCGACCAAGAAGACGTATCAAGGAAACACACAAAACTGATGGAATTGCAAGAACTCCAAAAAAAGCGAGACCGAGTTTGTCGTGCTATGCAAGCATCACTCGGGAACAGGACACTATCTATATAAGTACAGTTTAGACGACTATTCAGGTATTTTAATATCTATAACTGCGAAAACATGTCGCTAGTCAGTTGAGCCATAGCCATATCGTATCGATCAACTAGTTCGTGATGGTGACAGTAAAACCTATGTAGTGTCGTTTTAAGTCGTTCTTCCTCATAATTCTGTTGTAGCATTATTTTTTTTTATGGATAACACTCCTGTTAAGGAATAAAAGCCCAATAGATAATTTTCATCTGTTAGATTTTAGCATGATTTAAAAACACTTTTAGATATTAGACCAGAATTATAACTTTAGCGTATCGTGTAATGTTTTCTTGTTGTGTTTTTACTTCAGTTTTATTTTATTCTACAAAAAATAAAAGATAATTCGCTGTCAAGTGTAATGTCGTTGAAATTTTATTAACATTTTTATAATTTTTCGAAACTAAATACCTTCATTGTTGGTATTTATTTGAAGGGAAGTTGGTTCCAATGATGTCCCCTTGATATTCCTGGCATAGATTTCAACAGTTTGATTTTCCCTCTTATTTTCATATGGTATTTCAAGAGTAAGGTAGTCTGATGTGTAGTTGCCTGTAAAATTGCTGGAGGTAACGACTTGATATCCATTAACTAAACCTCTCGACTTTCGCAAATCCATCTTCTAACAAACAAACAAAAAAAAAAACAAAAAATGAAAACGTGTCAAAATTTTTAACCGAAGATGTCACCAGGTACGCTCATGTTCCGATCTACATGAAATCATTCATACTAGAGTGGAAACCAGAAAGTACAAAACCAAAAGACATATTATCCAAACTAGTTTGACGTCTTTCTTTCTTTTTCCAAGACAAGAACATGAAAACTTTTATAGCCGACTATACGGTATGGGTTTTTTGTCATTGTTGAAGGCCGTACCTATAATTGCTTACATCTACTTCATTTGAACTCTGGTGAATATTTGTCTCATTGTCAATCATACCACATCTCCTTATTTTTATATATGTACGGCTGTGTCAAATTTGAAAGTACTTAGGTACTTACTTTTGCCAAAATTGACACCCCGCATCATTTTACATGGAGTATAATCACTTTACATTTAAATTGTTAAAATTTTCCTGACGTCTCTGGCGCTCATGTTTTTAACCTATCGATACACCATAATGTTTGTTTCCATATATATTCCTTTCCAATATAAGTTAAAATTGTGTCAATCACATCAGAGAAGATGTAGGAAGTTTACGGACAACAGCGGGCGCCAAGTGAGCTAAAAATGACTAATCGAAACGAGCATAACTTACCTTAAAATAGATGAATATTGAATTGTTTATATAAATGAAGGAATTGATCTCCAGCTCTGGTCCTGATAGTGGTCCTATAAAAAGAGATAAATTTAAAAAAGTTATAGTATGCGTTTGTATTATAGCTTTATGATTATTTATTTATAACACACACACTTTACTACTCCCCTAAAGAATGATGCAATTCACAGACGTTTCTATAATTAGTGTCTGTATAAGTGGATCTTCATTATATGTAATGTATTCTTTAATTTTTTCGGTAATTTTTATCTATTCTTTAATTTTTTCGATAATTTTTCTCTATTCTTTAATTTTTTCGATAATTTTGCTCTATTCTTTAATTTTTCTCTATTTCTTAATTTTTTAGATCATTTTTCTCTTTTCGTTATTTTAGGCAATTCGCATTTTTTTTTCTCGGGAACTATATGAACATCCCGTACCATTTATGCATTTACATTGTTGTCGCTCATCAACCTCCTGTTTATCAAAAAAATATTCTTACACATAATTGCAATGTATGAAATTTTTTGTTGCATTTTTCTTTTGAACTATTTATCGGAACTTCCTGAAATTTGGTACCAAGGTTCATGTGAACATGCTATATCGTGTGATGTGTTTCCATAGCCATTGCATATTAACCTACTGTTTACCGAATACTTAAAGCGGAGGTAGCATGAGTAAGCAATAACATATTACTATGTATTTTACTATAATTATAGAAATTTTGTTTAAAAAAATTGCAATTATCAAATATAAATACTTCTAATTTTTTATTCAAAGTAAAGTCTTACTGTCAGATTTTGTTGAAACAAGCGCGGACATAACTTCAGGACTCCAATAAGCTGACTTTGAAAGTTTACACTGTACTTGTACTATATAATTTGTTGCCGGGAACAGATTGCTGATGTTAAGTGTCACATTCTTTTGACGGATATTAACCATTACAAATTTCTAAAAAGAAAATCAAGCTGCAGTTTGTAAAATTTTATCTACTGATTTTGTGATAAAAGGCATCCTTCTGATGAATAATTTAATTATTGGTTTATGCTTTTTTAAATTGAGGACTATTGATTCATTTTCAATGTTCCTCCTTATCCTACTCAAAATCTTCAAAAAATGAGAAATTCTATTGAAGAACGAGTACAAATAGGACAGCTCGGAGCAACAGCTGAATCAACTCACGAATCGCTGATACAAAACAGTAACAACGATGCAGTTACCTCCTTTAAAAACATTGGGGGGGGGGGGGGGGGGGGGACGCAAGCAACATTGGAAATCTTCAGGTCACTTGATCGATGTGGTCATATAAGATTACACCAATATCGTTAAAAATTCATAATAGAATCATATAAAATAATATGATCAAACGTTTACGATAAAGCACATACCGAACTAATGTTAAAATAGAGAAATTATATTCTTTGTAAATTACTGAGTATACATTTTTTAGTTCAGTTATTAAAAAAGAACAAAATTTATTCGAACTAACTGTAATTTATAATTTCGATAAAAATACAAATATTGGCAAAACGCCATTCTGTGATGAATATTTCTTATTTTGTTAAAGTCACCCGCCGTCACCATTAAAAACATTCAGCAACAATACTGACCTTTCCTGTACTCGTATTACAGACAGTTTCTACCAAACACGTGACATTAGCATTCAGATTGAAAGGTATTGGAAGAGTTGGCATTGTCCATAAAGCTTGTAATGTATCGACAGTAGAAGTTACATTCAGCTCCTCGACTGGATCTAGAAATGCTTAAAAGCATAATGCATTACTGTTGCTTTCATTTAAAGATTAAGCTGTTTTTATTTTAAGACAAACTTTTGATTTTGAACGTTCATTGTGAAGGTCGTCCAGAATTTAAGGACTGCGAACACAGTAAAAAAATAGAACAATAACAAACAAACAAACTAACAAAATTGATTTTTCTACCTATTAGACAGAACCGTTATCAATACTATTTACATCAAATGGTTTTTACAATTCTATAAAGTCATTTTGCCATTTTGAGCATATGGTCCGATTAAGTTTGATCTACACGTGTCGTGAATGTAGTTTTTTCGTGTTTTTTACTCTGGTAATACCAATTCCTGAACATCGTAGTATGAATCATCACTTCGTTGTTCAATGTGAAACATGATAAAACCGAACAGCTGCCAACACTGAACAAATTTTACAATCCCGTAGCGGTTTGGTTTAGACAGGTGTCAATGTCTGAGGACAAATATTATGTACATTAAACGAAATAAAAAATCTTTATAGTTGGCAATGCATGCACGTATCTGCGGTCTGTCTTCAATTTAAATTAAACGATAATATTATGTTCTAAAGACCATCATGAATAGGTCACATATGGCAAATGTCCATCAAATTTAGGAACATATTTGAATAATTACATTTTGTATTTTTTTAAATATATATAT